TTTAACTCTTATTATAACAAAATAATAAAATATTCACTAAAAAATATAAATTAATCACTAATATTTAAACCAAACAGTCTTTATATCATGACAATATGTAAATCTGATAAATGTCTAAATGGTGATACTCATTTTTATACACTTTCCCAAGTGCCATAATGAAGTAATAGGAATGTGTAGGGTGTCCAAAAAATCTGGAAACGTGGGTGATTTGCAGCTTTTATTAATTTTGTATACGTGGCTAATTATGAATTACAAAAACAGCATGTGGAACACGTCCTGTAAAATTTGTTGAAGTGCCTATGGTTACAGACTTTTCAGACACCCTGTATTATTGTTTCTATTTAGTTTATTCTTAAACATGAACAAGGTGATATGAAATACAGAAGTCAAAAATAAAAATGATTGAATTAGCATTGAGTAAAACACTTAAAAAGAAAGAACACTCAATTGATTTTTTATTTTCTTGATGTATTGGTAAAGCCCATTTTTAGTCCTGTTTAGTTTGAGTACTGCTTTTATTAAGGTAAAATCAGGCCTATACTACATTTAATCTGTGCATGTTCTCTGTTAAATCTGAGATTGCATGAAACCACACTTTTAGTTAAAGATCCTGTGAATAAAAATTACAAAATGATATACTACAGATTGGTGTTGGTTAATAAAATTATTTTCATAAATGTCTATAATGATGCTGTAGTAGGAGTATAATTTATGTTCAGAATCTAGAGCTTCTAAGTGAATTATTAATCTGTTCAAGAGAAAGGTGCAGACATAAAACTCATATAGAAACAAACCTCCTCCTCCCCCTTCACTCCCCAAATTGTGATTAGTAAGATACAGATTCTGTAAATATTATTGGTTGGAGACAACATATTTGTTCACTGTTATTTGAATTATTTTGCTGTGCAAAGATGTTATAATTTTTATAAAAATGAATGATTAATATTGGTGTTTTATAGAGTATGTGGTTACCAGTATCCCTCTATTTGAATCAGTAGTATTGAGAAAATATCTGATATCTATGGTGTTTTGAATCTGTATTACTTCACCATGTGCATTAGGCCTCTACATCACAGATTCTCTTTTCAATTTCACCTCTAGTGAAAAAGAAAAGAAATCTTTAACATATATATATATATATATATATATATATATATATATATA